TTTTAAACGTTTTGGCCTAAGGGCGAGTTAGACTCTAAAAATTTAGCGAGAATTAGAAAATCTCAAGAAAATCATGAAGAGGCAAATATCGAATTATATATCGATTTATTCGTAATTTTATTCTGCATCTTTTTTCCTAACAAACTTTTAATATAACTCATAACGTTTATCGTGTTTTTGTAAAAATTTAAATGTATAATTGTAATGCAGCGGTATAATTTAAGCAATTTTCCAAAATATTTATTGAATTCGTAAAGAAACCACATAAAGTATTATACATCGTTAAATTTGTCTAAAAATTCCTATTTTTTCCAAATATCGCATCTCTGTATTTTAAACCATTTGGCTTATGGGCGAAATATACTCCGAAAATTTAGGGAGAATTGGAAAATCTCAAAAAAATTATTTAGAGACGTACATCGAATTAAACAACACTGTATTCATAATTTTATTGTTCATCTTTCCTTCTAATAAACTTTTAATGTAAATGTTACCGTTCTTTGTGTAGCATAAAATTTGTAAAATTTTAAATGTTTAATTTCACAAGTCGGTGTTATTTGAGCAAATATTCAAAATATTTGATAAATTCGTAAATAAATCGTAACTAGCTGTAAGTGGAATGCTGTCTTAAGGCAATTAGGGCATCGTGCCTTAAGGCAAATTGCTGGAACTTCCCGTACCAAAAATTATTATTTTTTTAAAAACGATTAACATTTTTGAAAAAATTTTACTTCGAAAAAAAATAGATTTGAGAAACTACAAGCTTGACAAAAAATTACTTTTTTTTTGAAAAAAAAATTTATATGAAAAAACTATTTTTTTTTGAAAAAATTTTTTTTTTTGGATACAAAAATTTTTTTTTGAAAAAAATGTTTCTTCTTTTTGACATATTTTGGAAATTCTGAACTTTTTTTCAAAGCAATCGCACTGCTTGAACTGCTTAGAGACGAAATGTCAAAGCGCGCATGTGCCGCGCCGCCGTCTAACGCATAAGCATTGGTACGGAACCCATAAAAATGTAAAAAAAAATATACTTATTGTTAAAAATCTCTATAAAATATCTGATAATTTGATGTGCATATGTCTAATGATAATTTTTAACCGCCGAACGGCATTATTTTTTACTTTTTTCATTAGATCTCCGAAACCGCTAGACCTACCTCCATGAAAATTTGATCAATTCTACATCTTGTCAATACAAGTAAATGTTTTTTGAATTATTCAAATCGGACGCCCGTTCTCTTAAAAACGGAGGTACCGTTCTTGTCACTTTTTGGCCCCGTATCTTCGGAACGGCTAACCTGCCTTTGCCAAAAACTAATCAGCACGTCTCCTTATCAATACGAATCGAATGTTTTTTGAATTATTCAAATCGGTATCCGTGTTCCCGAAATCGTCGACGAAAATTTGTATCCGCACATACATACACACCCATACATACATACATACATACATACATACATACATACACACACACACACACACACACATACATCCATATTTTCTAAGGTATGCCAAAATGTTCAGAAGGTTTTGAAACGTCGAGAAATGCAAAAATTTTCATTTTCGATTTTTTTGCGATTACTATAACTTACCCTACGGGAAGTTAAAAAGTGTTATACATCGTTAGATTCATCTCAAAATTTTTAGTTTTTCTTCCATATATCGCAATTTCGTATTTTAAAGGGTTTAGCAGACAATAGGCGAGACTGATTCCTAAAATTTCAGAAAAATTTAAAAATTTCAAGAATATTATATGGAGACACTTATTGATTTATATATCGTTTTATTTGCAATTTTATTCTGCATCTTTTGTTGGAACAAACTTCTTACGTATCTTTTATCGTTCAACTTGTAGGATAGAAAATGTGTGAGTTTCTAGATTTTAAAATGCAAAGTGCGATATGTTTGAGAAACTATTCAAAATATTTAATAAATTCTTGAAGAAACAATATAAAGTGTTATACATTGTTAGATTGAGACTCAGTAGATTCGTCTAAACATTCTTAGTTTTTCTTCCATATATCGCAATTTCGTATTTTAAAGGGTTTAGCAGACGATAGGCGAGACAGACTGATTCCTAAAATTTCAGAAAAATTTAAAAATTTCAAGAATATTATATGGAGACACTTATTGATTTATATATCGTTTTATTTGCAATTTTATTCTGCATCTTTTGTTGGAACAAACTTCTTACGTATCTTTTATCGTTCAACTTGTAGGATAGAAAATGTGTGAATTTCTAGATTTTAAAATGCAAAGTGCGATATGTTTGAGAAACTATTCAAAATATTTAATAAATTCTTGAAGAAACAATATAAAGTGTTATACATTGTTAGATTGAGACTCAGTAGATTCGTCTAAACATTCTTAGTTTTTCTTCCATACATCGCGGCTTCGTATTTTAAACCATTTTTAGACGATAGGCGAGACTAACCCCTAAAATTTAGGGAAAATTTGAAAATCTCAAGAAAATGATATGGACACACATATTTAAGTTATATATCAATTCATTCGTAATTTTATTCTGCATCTTTCGTTCGAACAAATTTTTCACGTATCTCTTATCGTTTTCCTCGTAGGATAGAAAATGTGTGATTTTGGGAAACTATTTTTACTGTTTGTTTTGTTCATAAAGAAACCACATAAAGTATTATACATCGTTAAAAAGGTCTCAAAATTTTTGAATTTTCTTCCAAATATCGCAACTTCGTATTTTTGACCATTTGGCCTATGGGCGAGATAGACTCCGAAAATTTAGGGAGAATTGGAAAATCTCATGAAAATTATATGAACACACATATCGATTTACATATCGTTTTATTCATAATTTTATTGTGCACTTTTTTCTAAATACTTTTTTTATGAGTTTAATATCATAATAATTTTGTGTTTAATTTCATAATAAATAGATAATTTAAATGATTAATTACACAATATGGTAAAATTGGAACAATTATCCAAAATATTTATTAAAATCCTAAAAAAACATAAAATGTTATAAATAATACCATTCGTATTAAAATTTTTAGTTTTTTTTTTTTCATATATCGTAACTTTGTATTATAAACCGTTTGGACTTTGGCGAATCAGATTCTTAAATTTACGTAAAATTGGAAAAATCTCAAGAGAATTATATGAACGCATTTATCGAATTTTATATCGTTTTATTCGTAATTTTATTGTGCATCTTTTCTTCTAACAAACTTTTAATGTAATTCTTATCGTTTTTCGTGTAGCATAAATTTTTTTAAAATTAAATGTTTAATTTCACCAAGCGATATAATTTTAGCAATTATTCAAAATATTTAATGAATTTGTAAAGAAACCATATAAAGTATTATACATCGTTAGATTCGTCTCAAAATTCCTACTTTTTCTTCCAAATATTGCAACTTCGTATTTTAAACAGTTTGGCTTATGGGCGAGTTGCAGTGCCTAAATTCAAGGAATTAGAAAATCTCAAGACTCCTAAAATTTAAGGAAAATTAAGCAAATTCAATAAAATTATTTGGAGATATGTATCGAATTATATACGATTTTATTTGTAATGTTATTGTGCATATTTACTTCTAAGAAACTTTTAATGTAGCTCATAACGTTTTTCGTGTTTTTGTAAAAATTTAAATGGTTAATTATAATGCATCGGTATAATTTGAGCAATTATTTGAAATATTCAATAAATTTGTAAAGAAACCATATAAAGTATTATGCATCGTTAAAATCGTCTCAAAATTCTTAGTTTTTCTTCCATATGTCGCAACTTGGTATTTTAAACGGTTCGGGCGATATGCGAGTCAGACTCATAAAGTCAGAAATTAATTCTTAGTTAAATAAATTCCATATATCGCAACTTTGTATTTTAGACCGCTTGGACTATAAGCGATCAGGAGTCAAACTCCTAAAATTTATATTAAGTCAATTATCGAATTATATACCGTTTTATTTATAATTTCATTCTGCATATTTTTTCCAAATGAACTTTTTATGTAAGTCTTACCGTTTTTAGTGTAAAATTAGAATTCTGTGAAATTTTAGCTTTTATAATGCAAAGTCCGGTGGGCTTGTACAACTATTTAAACTATTTCATAGATTCTTAAAGAAACCATATAAAGTGTTATTCATTGTTAGATTCGTCCTGAAATTCTTAGTTTTTCTTCCAAATATTGCAACTCCGTATTTTAAACGGTTTAGCCTATGAGCAAGTTGCAGTGCTGAAATTAAAGCAATTACAAAATCTAAAGAATCTAAAGACGCCTGATATTTAAGAAAAATCGGGCGATCTCAATTAAATTATTTAGAGATTTGTATCAAATTATATACTATTTTTTCGTCTTTTTTTCCAAATACACTTTTCATGCAATTCTAACGATTTTTCCTATAGTATAAGATTTGCAAAAAAAAAAATTATGTTTAATTTCACAATGTGAAATAGTAAGCACCAATTTGGGCAATTAATCGAAATATTTAATAAATTTGTAAAGAAACCATATAAAGTGTTATACATCGTTAGAATCGTCTCAAAATTCTTAATTTTTCTTCCATATATTGCAACTTTGTAATTCAAACCGTTTGGCCTAGGGGCGTGTCAGACTCCTAAAATTTATATAAGAGTGTAAAATTTCAAGAAAATTATATGGAGACACTTACCCAATTGTACATAATTTTGTTCGTAATTTTATTGCGATATTTTTTTTCTAATTAATCCTAACTTATTTTCATTATTAATCCTAACTGGTGGATGAAAATATTTTCATAACATTTAGTTATCATTTCTTAACAATTAATTTCATTTTTTATTTTTCATTTTTTAGTACGTGCAGCTTTTGTGTTGCGATTGGATCCTGGAGACAAGTTACGGTTTGTGGGAAGTCGAAATTGACACCAAGTCTGGTCTAAATGTGAAACCAGTTGCTCCAAATATTCTAACAAATTTCCAACGAGATTTGTCGTCTTTGAGAAGACTTACTGAACGCCTACCGGTAGATAAAGGATACAAAAATTAATAATTTAAAAATTTCATTTATTTTGTATTTATCGTGTTTTTTTCCATAGACTGCTTTACCGAGAGTTTTTCTGTACGAAGCAGTTTGCAGACTGATGGCTGGTGCAGCTCCTGGACCGACCCAAATTTTACTCGATAGAAGTTTGAGGCATAGGAATTCCAAACCGAGTGCAATTTGTGGAAAAGGTACAAAAATTTACACCAGTTTTATTTTCTGAAATTACATTTAACGATTTGCTTCAATTTTTTTCTAGAAAAATCTAGTAATTCCGAAGGTGGTGAAAGGGAACGTGCAGCAGCCCTTTATGTAGCCTGTCGACATTTACCAGCCCAATTATTATCGACACCAGGAGAACGTGCTGGTATGCTTACAGAGGCTGTTAAAACATTAGAAAGGATTGGTGATCAGAAAAGACTATACGATTGTTATCAGTTGATGAAATCGATGGGGACAGGTTCCATAACGAATTAAAAATACAAACGACAGATGGTAAGATTATCATAATTTTAATAGATGTTTTAGTATACTTCATCATAAGGAAAATAATTTAATACGTGAAATATAATTTTATGTAACCTATTGGTAAATTATATTTTTTTCCTTGCAATATTTTAATGTCCAATTTTAGTTGATAATATATAAGTATTTAGTTTATTTTTACGAATGTATCATTGAAGGTATAAAACACCAATAATTTTTCTTTTTAATTATTTAAATAGTACTTAAGATTTAATCTAATTAATTTATAGATTATAAGACTAAGAGATTCAAAGAGTTCAAATTTTAATAATATAAATGATGGTAAAAATATTTTCTCAAATACAAAATTGAATATGTCTAGAGAAAAATATAATTATTTTTAAATTGAATATTTTTAATTAATATGAATACAATTATTTTTAAAGTTAAAATAATATTTATAAATTAACCATATTTGTTAGACAATTTGATATTATTTATAATTAACATATAATTAGTTTGTTGATTATTTATAAAATTATAATTTTAGTCGCACCATTATTTTTTAGAGTGTATAAATATTTTTTTAATAAAATGTATTTTAAATATGAATATATATTTTATTAATGAAAAAAAAATAGGAAAATAGTTTAAAACGTTTTTCTTACAGGATATATAAATTTTTTTTATTTTATATATAACTTTTGGTAGATTTTCAACGTCGAAACAAATTTTATATAATTAGCAACAAATTGGTCGAATTTAAAATAGTATTAATTTCATAAGATTAATTGTCAATTAAAATTAAAATATTATTCAAATTGTATGTTTCGTTTTTTCCTAATGTGGAATGCATATTTTTACTTATTTTTTTTATATCATTTTATTTTAATTTTTTATAATTGTATTGAATATTTAAAATAAATTTTTGTTTATTGATTTATTGATAGATGATATCAAATTTCGAATGGTATTAATAATTTAGTGAAAGTTAAGTTATCATTTTTATTTCGACGAATTTGCTCCTAATTTAATTATATATATATATATATATATATATATGTATATATATATATGTATATATATACATATAAATTATAATAATAAAACAGCTTTGTCTTCACGAAAATATATTTCAAAATATTTTCTAAATCACATTTTTATCTCATACACATACAAGTACATTTATAACTGATTTAAATTAACTAAATTATAAATTATGTATTAAGTAGTATTACTAAAATATTCTATTTTGTTCTAAAATTATATATATATATATATATATATATGTATATATATTTATATATATTTATATTTAATTTAATTTAATTTATGTAATTACTAATGAAATTTATTCGGAGGCGGGCTTTGAATAAAAATAACTTAATATTAAAAAAATATAATATATATACATATGTATATATATCTTTATTATTTAGAAAAATATTTATTTATTTATATTTAATTTTTTGAATTTCGCGCTTTTTTTTCTTTCAGTTTTGACAGAAGAAACCACGTGCTATTTTTATTCTGAATAAAGTGTGTAGTGTTTATTTATTATTTGGACAGTGATATTTAATTTTTTAAATTTCAAATAACTTTTATGTAATTAGTTTCTGTTAAAAAAAACAGTTTTTTTTTTATTGTGCAAAAGTGTATGAAGAATTTTTGCTGATGCTGATTATTGGTAAGTGATTTAATTTATTTTTGTATATATTTTTTGGTCTTAACCTTGTAGTAATAAATACTTGGGATTTGTTATTTTATTTCTGCAACTTGTTATTAAAATTTACAATAAGTTTCACAATTTTGTTTAGCAATAAACGAGTACAAGAATAATTTCAAAAATATAATTTCCACGTCCAAAATTAATCATTTTTACAATAATGTACAAAAAACGTGTCCAAAAAATGGTTTAATGCAGTTTAATTTAAATAATTATTTTCAACAATAATTTCCACATTTTTAAGTTTGCAAAAAAACAAAAATTTGCAGTTTTTAATTTTGATATTTTACTCTGTACTATCAACGTCCAAAATTATTATTAATTTTTATAAAAACTTTCATATACAAGGCCTGATTCAAAACATTTTTTAAACAAAATAAAAATTATTTAATAAATTAATAATTTTATGGAATATTCAAATATCCACGGATTTTTTTAAACAAAGTTTTGGCCGTTTTATATATTCAAATTTTGAAAGAAACAATTTTAAGAACTTTTTTTTGAAAATGTTATAAAAAAAAATACTGAATTTTTTCTCAAATTCCTTTTTTTATTTGAAAATAGAATCCTTACGGTTAAGATTGAAATACTTTCAAATAAAAAAAGAAATTTGAGAAAATATTCAGTAGTATTTTTTATAACATTTTCATAAAAAAGTTATTCGTGAATCCTTTACAAAAAAAAGCGCTTTTGCAAAATGTCTATACACAATAAATAATTATTTTTGCTTATAAATTCCTGAAATTATTATAACAAATTTAGTAACAAAATAATAAATTTCAAGTATTTAATTTTGTAAAATTATCAATAATTTTCAATAGTCATTTTGTTATACAAAAATCGTCTTCACAAAATACCTAAACACAGTCTAAGTATTTTAAATAAATTTAATCAAATAATTAATTAAAACTAATTATATTAATATACCTAAATAAAAAGGCACTTTTACTAATACAAGTTTTCGACATATTTAAATATTATAATAACTACTTTAATAGCTATCACATTTAACTAGTTTCTACGACAGTATTAAAATATATTTATATATAAAATATAATAAATTCAATAAAACTGATAAAAATTGATAAAAAAAATCAGTGAATTTTAATTATTATTTTCACAGATTTTTCTTAAAACATTCTAAAACATATTGCTATTTATAATTATATTTTAGAATATTTTAAAAAAATCAGTTAAAATTTTGTTAAAATTTCTTGTATAGTTTGTTTGGGTAAAATTTACTAAATATTTTCCCACAACAACACTATTTTATTTTTATCGATAATATTATAAATAATTATAACTTGTTTATAATAAATTATAATATTATACTTATATTGATAGGGACTACAAATAGGCACATTTTGATGAAACTTAGTTACCTAGTTTATTATTGTCTATTGAATTTTATATAAATCACAAAAAAATATTTTGTGTGAATTTGTTCCTATTTTTATTATTATTTTTGTCACCAACAAGAACTATGTTTCACTTGTACTAAGTCTTTCCTTTTTTTCCTAAATCACATATTGACTTCCCACAATTTGATCTGGTTGTCGATGACCTCCTGGAACCATTTCTTTTTGGCAGGGTCCTTAAAAACAGGGGTCAAGGCCCTAAGGTCTAATTGCAATAAGGCTTCGTTCCCTAACATTCCATCGAGAGTGTTGAGGAGAGCCGTGTCTTTGTGTAATTTTAAAAGACTAGCATATCTGGAAAAAATAAATATATATTATATATACATATATATATATATATATATATATATATATATATATATACTAGATGACCCAACAGACGTATTATTTAAGATATCTAAAAGCGCATCTTAAACTTCTCCTAATTGATATCGTAAGGGCCGAATTGTATGTATTTGTAGGTAGTTTGTGCAAAAATTGTTAATAACTCGAAATATTGTTAAAGAACTAATTAAATTTAGTGTTTGATATCATAATATACATATTAGGGAATAATATACTAAGATTTTGAGATCGTACGTTCTGAGGAGCTCGTTAAATAAATTATTTTGTTCAGAAACCTAAGCATCAGACAAAGATTATGCGGTAGTTTGTATAGAAAATCGTTAATAACTCGAAATATTGTTTAAGAACTGATTAAATTTAGTATTTGATATTATAATATACATATTAAGGAATAATATACTAAAATTTTGAAGTCGTACGTTCTGAGGAGCTCGTTAAATGAATTATTTCGCTCACGTATTAGACAAAGTTTATGGCATAGGTTGTGCAAAAAAATATTAATAACTCGAAATATTGGAGGAGGAGTATTTTTACATACATATATGTTCTAATATTGTCTAGGCTCATAAGTAAATTTAAAAGTTTGGTAGATGACAGTTTTTATTTGTTTTCAATGCCAAACAATGTCTCAAATATTTTCAATGTTAAACAATCACATGTGGTTTTTTGCAATTTTTTCCATTTATTTGTACAATATTACTATATTTATATAATTTCATAAATCCTAAAAAATTCCCTTTACAAACATCAGAAAGATTTATCAAAATCCGAATAGTCGCTTAGGAGGAGGAGTATTTTTACATACATATACACGTATGTCCTAATATTGTCTTGGCTCATGAGTAAATTAAAATTTTTGAAATAATGTTAATTAATAGTAATTATGACAACTAATTTTATACTCACCAAAAAATGGTGCGAAAAATAAAAAAAAAAATTTTAAGAGTAGACAACTTTTAACACTCACAATTAGGGTCATGAAAAACAGATGACCGATTTTCAGTCAATAAATCGTTTGTTTTTTCTCGAAGTTTCCATAAATGATATATGATATATAATATAATATAATATATTGCATTATGATATATAATATAATATAATATATTGCATTATGATATATAATGTCAAACAAATACATGTCATTTTGTTGCAATTTTTTCTATTTATTTCTACAATACTATATTTTATAATCACGTGCACCCTAAAAAAATCCCTTAACAAATTTCAGAAAAATTTATCAAAATCCGAATAATCGTTCAGGAGGAGTATATGTGCATACATCATTATAGAATTTTTTTTATATATAAGATTATATCAATATCTATTTACCTGAATATATAATACTGTACTCCCAATTTGGAATTGGCCCACTGTTCCACAGTCTTGTTGCCACTGGCACATTTTATGGCACCCATGTGTTCAACATACCACGGCGAAAAATAATTCAACAATTCCAAACTAGTTAAATTCAAAACACCTTGAGTCTTCAACCTTTGCTTGATTTGTAAAAATTTACTTCTGCTGTAAACAAACACCTAAAAATAAAATATTAATAATACATTACCTTTACCAAGAAAACATTTTTTAGATAAGACATATATTACAGCTGTTCAAAGAATCAGATTATATCGCGAGCAAAAAGATAGAAAAAAATACAAGTAGTCAATGAATGTATGTTAATTTTAATTACATGAAGTTCTTCAAACACAATTATTACATGATGGGTGAAGTTGCG